GAGTTGTGGAAATGACACAAAAGTAGCATTGACAGATTTCAAATGATGGTGCTAATTCTAAATCACTTTTGACAATGGCAACGAACACTTCAATGATTTGTTAAGCGCTAGCGAGAAACCGAGAAACCGGAAATATCTATGATTTGGTTTCTTAGTCATTTCCAATTTAATGAGGATGCATAATTTCGGCCGTCCAAACATTCCAGTTCATCCATCGCTTGTCTGATTCATAATAGATTCAAGTTATTAGTCTCTGAAAGCTACACAAAGTCATTCTGTATTTTTTAATAATATTTGCTAAGCTTTTTATCATCGATCAATAATCAATTAAAGCCTTCTTAAATCCTTTTGCACAAAACGATTCGAGAATTTTAATCTTTACAATTTAAAGAAATTCAATACTACCTTATTCTTTTCTTCATAAGGTTTTATATTTGTACATATATTCCTTTACACAATACTCAACAATTCCGCTAGAGGAATATGGATGAACGTACACTTCAATGGCCACCTTTTCTTTGGAGTAATAGCGACGAATGCGACTAGTTATATTCAAAATATAATTTACATTGTTGTGTACGGTACGAATGGAACGTAAACAGCTTAGTGTGCACTAAATTCAAATTAATAAATCAACAGCAAACAACTATGATAAGTATACTAAAAAGCATATCCACATATTCTTCCCGTTAATTTAAATTTACTTGACCACCCTATGATGGCAAATTTTATTATAGCCTATTATGGTGGAAACTTTCTTCCTTGCTTATCATGATTTATTATATTAATTTCTGTTGCAGGTCATTTTTTTGTGCTACATTTTATACATCTAAATATTCGCTTTCGAATCTTTACGTGAAACGAAAAATTTTCATAGTGCACCGCTGATTGTCCAATCTGCTCTAGCGAGTTGCTTGTGGGTCGATTGCAGTCATTCATTTGATTACGACATATATATGTATATATATGTCGGCTCATGTATCGATAATTAATTAATTATATTCACCATCATTTTGTGTAGCTTTGTACATGTGTAATTAATAACTGATTACACGCACAGTATATGCAATACATTAAACAAAATTATAATGAATGGCTTTGAAATAAGTTATTTCCAATATTTAGGAGTCCATGGTACGTATATTATGATAATGAGGAGAAATGTAATGTTGGCAGGTGGCACTGCATTGGAGGATGGTGAAATTGAAGACGATGATGATTTAAACGATATTCGCAGGTTATTTTTCTTGAACATATGGTAACTAAGGGTGTTCGATTTGTGAAACGTTAATGGGATGATATGATGTAGACCAGCCTAACCTTATCCATCGGATAGCATAGATTATTAGTCGAGAAGATTGTTTAAAGCAAGCAACTTTATGACTCTTGCTTTAAGGATGGATTATTAAATCGTTGATACGTTTGTCAGATAAAGTTGTTACAACTGAAATCTTTTTCATGACTGCTTATAGTACAGCAGCAGTAATACAGATAACAGTAATGCTTATAGTTCAGCAGCAGTAATACAGATAATAGTAATGCTTATAGTACAGCAGTAATACAGATAACAGTAATACAGGTCAGTAATACAGCAGCAAAATTAGAGAACAGTGAAAAAAAATGTTTATACTTTAGATGTCATCTCTATTTTTTCAATATATCATCTCTCCTCATCCAACAATGTCTCAATCCACCTCTAACATTGGTGTCTATGTCATGACATTTTTATTACGGAATGAAACCTTGAGATGTTAAGCTTAATTTACAACTACAAATTTGCTATTGGCATTATTTCATTAAGCCGATTTCCTTCTTTTAATAATTTATAGCTTTTGCTTTTGCGTTCATTTCCTTCCTTTTAATTAACCTAAGGCTTTACTACTAAAGGTTTTAAAATACATGGTTATTTGCAATTACTGGTTATTTAACATGATTAATTCAGCGTTTGATTATTAGACCGTCAGCATCATTGTAGTTTTGATAGTTGGTAATTAATTCAATATTTTATTCTTGTTCAATCACAGCTTTGTTTGGCTGCAATTTGTGCACCTTTATAAAAGTTGTTTATTTTGATGTCAAAGTTTTATCTAGAGAATAATACCATAACAATTGGCTATGTGTTATTAAAATTTTAGATCATTACTGTGTCTGATGAATTACTGTGTAACAGCAGGAAGAAGCGTTAGTAGTCTGAATAATTTAATAGTCTGAATAATAACTTGCTAAAGATTTTTGATTTTGTTTGGAATTTGAGTGCGGAAAACCTTTAACATTACTTCCACATACAAAACTGTTGCTATTTAGTTTTGGTGTGTTTGCAGTCCTCCTCAAAAATTACATGTAATAACTGTAGGAGCACATCAGTGGAAATAAGTTCAGAGAAAGTAACACATGTTACATCGGCTAGTCTGGACGAGGAACGAGAACGCGAAGTGGACCGTATTATTCGTGAAGTGCAGGTATTGAAATGTATTCTTTAGAGTCTAACTTACTTTCGAGTGTACTTGTCGGTTTTAGTGGTAATTCTGCTGAAATTCATTGCTTGCCGTTCCAGTTTCACATATAGGTTCTGAACGAACAGAACTTCATTTTCCTCGCTTTCATTACATGAAAAAAGATGCTATGTTAAAGTGTATTACTTGATCCAGTAGTGTTTACGTTGATTGTTTTTTAAATATCAAAGGTAATTTTCAGGAAGCAGCAGATAAGTCAGAATTCACAAGCCTAATCTCTGCTGAACATTCAGTAGGAAATGTCAATTCAGATGATGAGGACGCTTTGCGTTTAGCAGTGTTAAATACAAGCAGGGATAAAAGATTTGTGCGACGACACTTGTCGCACGAAGCAGAAGAAGGAGAGATCAGTGAGAATTCTCTCTATCTATATCTATGTCTTTATGTATATCTGTATTTTTACCTATATCTATATATACACCTGTCGCACGAAGCAGAAGAAGGAGAGATCGAGGGAGCCTTAACAATTTTAAATTATCGTTCTCTTACTTTGGGACTTCAATTCTCTTTCAATATTAACATTCCATTTTTGAATACTACGTACCTACGTACCTTTGAGTCCAGAAATTTTTGGGTTGCATAAATCGTGACTTTTTCTTCATCTTCAGATACATGACTTAGGATTACTGTAGAATTATTAGTGGGGAAATTTGAACTTTATTTGCGAACTCAAACATTTACTTGTTTTTTTATTAGTTGATACTTCGTACGTGATACCAAGAAATCAGCAATTGAATGCGCGTTCTTCATCGCGGCAAACCTGGGTGCAACTGAAACGAAAGCAAAGTTAGCTTGTCAACTATCTTACCGTTATGAGTTAAAGAGTTTGTATATTGAAAAAGTTTGTATATTGGAAACTGCAATGGAATGCAGCTAAATACATATATATATACTAAACTATATACTAAACTAAATACATCGAAATACAGTACAAGGTAGCTGTTACTGAATAATTAAAAGAATTTCGAAATTTGTGAAAAAGGATGGTACATGACAATTGTTTTCCAATCCTTTTGCAGATAACAGATTTCAAAGGTATAATGATATGCAAAATCGCATCAAGAATAGTAAATTCCGTGAAACTGCGGTACCACTCAAGGTGACGGTACGGAATGATAACGCAAACGGTTATTCACGTTATATGCTAAATAATCAGGAGAAAGCGGTTGCACCAACCAGTAGTGCGGAGATGTTAGGAACAACTGTGAAACAATTTTCAAACCCGTAAAATTTTAATCATTCCTTTAGCTCTTTATTATAGTTATTTTTTTTAGTTGTAACAGCAAAATATAGCACACTGGTCAAATTCGTGATTTCCCCCTAGAAGATCAGAGCTCATACCATTGCTGCGCTGGAATTATCATACCTTGGTCTATAGTTCTAGTACTTGCAATCTCATGAACAATTCTTTTCATAACGAAATCCTTTATTCCTGTTGAATATTGTTCGGACCTGGTGTAATCCTCGATCCTAACTCTTTCCTGAGGATGTGTTTGGGTGTGAAAAACATCCACTTGTCTCTTTTTATTTTCAGTTTAATGATGAAGGAAGGCAGTTATTTTTAATTAATGCTATTTGGAAAATTTAGATTTGAAGAGCAACTGCATCGACTTCGATTGCGAGTGGAAGCAAGTAAATTTTCGAAAAGGATGGAGAATTTAGGAGATAATTATGAGCAAGTTGGAATGGATATCGTGGACAGTGATCGAGGTTTTTAGTCTTATGTTTTAAAGTTGCACATTTCTTATTACGGTAGCAAAATTCGCCTTTTTTGCGAATCAGGAGTTCATTAAAGAAATGAAAAGTGTAGTGTCTATTCCTATCAGCTTAATCTCTGTTACATGGTCTATCGATCACTTCGAGATTCAATAAAATATTAGGTAGATGAATTCTTAGATGATATATAACAGCCTGATTTTTCTTTTTACATTTTCTACATAAAACAAAAGTCTATGCGTTTCTTTTTGTATGTTTACAATGAGGTAATTGTTGATATAACTTTTTTTTAATACTAGAATTGAGTTGAAATGAGTTCATTCGTTTAAGCGAATATTTGACATTAGGGACATTGACTTGTTTTTTTTTTGCTACACATCATATCTCCATGCTGTTACCGCGTTAAAAGGATTTTGAAACGTAATAGTTCGCGGAATTCAGACTCACGTTCACGATCATCACCAGCATCGCCGTTAATCGATACTATGTCTATTCACCCTCATGAAATGCAAATCCGAAATGCGGTGCCATCCGATGGTGCTGATAACGAAGAAGATGTCGACCAACTGCGTGCTGAACTCTTGGAGCAGGTCAGGATTTGCGCGAAGCATTCTAAATATTATAAAAATGTTATTTCTTATGGCTTACTATTTAATTTTTATCGTTAGGATTAATTCGATATAGCATGTCTTTGCACGGTTTGAGACGTATTCGATACGATCTGTTGTTTTCTTTCATTCCTGTAGTGTATAAGCAACTAATTTTTGGTTTTACTTTTCTTCATATTATGCTTACACCGAAAACATTGATGTATTTACAGATAATGCAAAAAAAGAATGACAAGAAGTTAACATCTTTGAAATTGTCACTTGAAGAAGGTGAATTAAGCAGTGCAAATTCAGAAGAACAAGCTGCTCATGGTAGTAATGAAAAACCAAGTTCCAGTTACAGGTATTTTATTCCAAAAGTTCCTCCATGGATATTTTGATCAGGGAATGTTACAAAATTCCAACTCCACTTTAAGAACGGACAAACAAAAAGTCATGTTGCTAGAAAATGACACTTGAATTTTTAAGTTATATTTGTTTGTAGGACCGAAAGGCATTGTTCTAAAAGATATACAAATGTCGCAGAACAAAACCGGAAATCTATAGTAGATCGGAAGGTTTGCTAGTTTTTTATTTTTAATAGAAAACATGCTTATTGAATATTGTTAGCATTTTGATTCCTAACTGTGCAGGAAAGTCTTCAGCGTTCAAGGAAGGATGATTCTTTATCAAGTGGTAGTGATGATGGACCAGTTCAAGACTATCGTATCAAGTTACCACGAAAAAGAAAAGAAAACTTCCGCGAAACTATTTCCAAGAGGTAAATCACTTGTTTCCAGAATTATGATATATTGCTGTTTGTCTGCTTTACTCGTGTGATTAATCAATTAATTACTAAACCTACTTACTTGGGCAAATTTACTGAGCTAGAGGGGATAGTTTCCTTGTCAATTAGTGACTGTTTACTCATTCTTGCTAACTTCAGGGTGGTTTTAAACCTAGATAGTTCCTTATTTTATCTATGCATATGCAAACAGGTTACGTTGGAAATCAAAGGATGAATTTGGCGACATATCAGGAGTAGAAGGGAGAAAGGCTGAAGATTGGGAACGTATGGTTGATGTTGAAAGGAAAGTGTTGAAGGAAATTGAAAGAAAGTTAAGACATCGTGACGACCAAAAATGTGTTGCGCGAAGAAAGCGTGATAACTTTTTGGTTAGCAGTCGTTATGATTTCTCACATTTCTTATTCATCGTTAATTTCAAATTGATTTCGTGTAATCCGAGCAATTCCGTAATTATATGGTTGCGGAAAGGCATTAATAATCAAGCACCGCATGTTAATTGTTATCATGTATAGGCTTCTGAGCCATCAACAGCTTTACCATATTATTAAATGTGATAAATGTAGCTTAATCTCAAGACTTATGAAAGAGGTTCTAGTGCATGACCGGTAAATTCAGATAAACCTGGTGTGTCATAAATTTTGCAGTTTTAAAGTTCTAACTGATAAATATCCTTTGTGAAATTTAGGAGAGAGCAAATCGCTGTGCTCGTCAACTCGGCGTTCTTGAAGTAGAGATGGAAGTACTTCGATGTGATCAAGAAAAGGCGAAGGGTCGTCTGTCGTATTTGGAACGGCAGTTGAATAAAGCACAGTATGAAGAGAATTATAAGGATACAGAGACGAAGACATTTGGAAAAGAAAGTAAACGAATGGAACGACAGGTAGAAGAAGCTGAATCGATGGAAAATATGAACAAGGACGTTGAACATGTTTATGATCCTACGCAAATGGTGATCAAGTCGGAAAATGATGCAGAAGGATGGGGAACGGTAAAAGCGGGCGTTCTAGAACATTCTGAGCCGTTGAGTATGACTATTGCGATGGATTACTCTGATGATCGAGATGATGTTTCAAGGCCTACAAATAGTAGTAGTGGATCGCAGCATTCTTCTATAGATATTTTGGGGTTTACCATTTTATGTTGTTTTCTTTTGATTGTTCCGTTTCATTATTCTAGCAGAGAAATCAATTACGAGGTCAGAAATACTTATAAAATACTTGTAACATACATAAGTTACTTAGTTCATAAATTTTTCAAGTTACTGTTAGTGCAGCATACAGAAATATAGTTGATTCATTAATTGGGAGTTATATAATTTAGTTTGCAATATACGAATTGCATTAATCGAAATGAATTCATATGGTAGACTATTTCCTTAGCCTATCATCGAAGAAAGTGGATCGAAGAAACTAGTTTAATAATGAAATACAGTATGTAGTATGAGCATAATTTTCAGAGATTCCGATATAATTGAATTATCAGATTCGAGTGATTCAATGAATGGTCTTGTCACAGCAATGCGCGAGTTGGAGCAAGAAGAAGAGTTAGAAGCGAATTCCGTTGCAAAAGCTGCAACTGCGAATAGCCCCAATGTTTGTCAGGAAAATCCACACAAAGAAAGAAAGATCAATCGTACTGTAACACTAAGCGAAAAAGATGTTAATGAACTTAAAAATAATCCATTAATAATGTTTAACGGATATCGGTGCGTATATACAACTTAAAAATAGTATATTTCGAATTGATTTTTACATTTCTTCATCTTATTTCCGTGTAACTGCTTCCTTTAATTGGCTTGCAAAATATTTTTTGGTTTCATATCTACTTAATATTTTTATTCTTTGCCCATGGAACATTTCACGGTGCTTTTCAAGTGAAAGTGAGCAGTTAATATTATAGAAATATAGTGGAAGTTACCTGAAAATGCTTCAACTAATTGAATTTCATGTCTAGGACGGCAAAGTTTGTTGAAGGCAGTTGTCCCACAAAGTCGAGGAGAAGGGAATAGTGATGCTTGCAATGCGACTATACGTTGATTCTGGACACTTTTGATAACTCATATTTTTCATAAACAAAACCAACATAGCAGTAATAATTTTGTTTACTGTCAGTGAAGCCAATTTCAGCATATCTCCAACATTCCCTTACCATCTGATAGCTCATCGAGCTTTGTCAAACAAGTTGGACCCATTGAAACCGCTTTGTTACTATGAATTATTAGGAAGATGCGCTGACTCAACGTGTCCAATGTTCGTTTGTTTGACTTTGATCAGGTTGCAAAAGGTCGGTGAAGTACGTCTAAGGTAATGTATGGTTTTACTTACAAAAATTACAGGCAACATGAAGAGGATTATTTGCTGTCCGATGAAGAATTGATATGTAGCGTATTAACTTATTGTCCGAACCTTTGCCCACCTAAAAAAATGTTTTGTAAGTTCTTTTGTGATTTTCTTGGATATTTTGAATATATCTCGTTTAAATCATGTGTAGGATATGTGTAGAGAGATACTGGACTATGAAATACTTTGTAATTAACCTAAAGGTAAGCCAAAATTTGCAGGAAGATTTGCATAGTTTTATAGAGAGTTATATGATGCACCAGGAAAAACGTTATCGAAATAAGGTATTGTTGCACTTGTTTGAGGTTTTCGGAATTTTAATTCTGGATCGTTTAAATAAGGATTTATTTCCCACTTTACTTCAATTAGCAATTTTACTACCTTATCCTTTTTAGCCGAATATGCTCGTGAAATATTGAAAGAACATGAAACAAAACCAGTGGGCGAAATTATTGAGGATATGCTGAAAACCCTTCCGGATACCGAACGTCGTATAAAAGTTTGTGAGATGGCTACTAAATGTAGACCGCTATCGAAATGGTATTCGAAAGGTCATTTTGTTACTGTTTTCAAAAAAATTGCAATTTTGCTGATATTAGGCTACCAAGTTAAAATGAAAGTACAATGAAAAAAAAAAAATCCGAATGAGAGCTCCTGGAATTAACCTTCGTTCTTACTATTTAGGGATAGGGAATGTTCGATTACTGCATTGAGTAAGTACTAGTTTGTTCCATTAGTTCAATAAACGAATTTTTGCTTTTTTGGAAAGCGAAAAACATTATTTTTTGAACAGGAAGTGTTTCGGTATACTTTTCCTGAATTCATGGGGAATTCATTAAATAATAGCAAAAATGGCCAGGATTGTCGTAACTGTTTGCTGTGGTGCGTCTTTGAATATGATGTGTCCATAAGTTGTTATACATGGCTGTATAGCTGGACTTTCATTCCCTATTATCAAATCTTTCGATTTAATGTACCATCAGCTAAATGGTTCACAATAAATTTTTAGTAGAGTTCATGGTAAAAGTTCATATAAAGTTCATAGTGAAGTTTTATAGTAAAGATTGAAGGAAAAAGTACTTTCGATTTCAGGTTGTTCAATTTCCCAAATTTTGGTCAAATAAAAAACATCTCTTGCACTGCTAAAGTTTTTTAGATAATGAATCCATAGAATACGAAGTGCCTCAGCAATTCCATCAGTTATCGCTGTAAATAACAAGATATAAGTGAGGTGAGTAATTACGGTTATGGTTTTGGTGCTCTGTAGACGGTTGATGCGTATTTACCATGTCGTTCTTTCCCATCACTGGTTATTAGTTTAAACTTTATATGTTCATTATATTACTATTCTTTTTTTCTGTTGCATTTGTACTCGTTTAATCAAACTACTGTTCATTGCTCTTGTGAAATATGTTACTTTTTATTTATATACGCCATGTTATTTGAACTCAAAAAAAAGTACTTGTTATGCGGAGAGATGAGGCAGCGAAGAACAGAAGAAAATATATCGTCAGCAACGTCTTCATTTGATTACTTCATCGTGATGCTGTTTGAAATCTCCAAATTATCATTCGAAAATTGGATGCAATTTGTGAATTTTTCTTTTTATCTGTTATTTATTTAGCAGTCCAAGCGAAATAAAAAGTAATTTTTCGTTCCCATTTCTATTCAAAATTTTTTAGACTGGTCATGTACCAAATGATGTACTTGAACTTATCTGCAACTGAAAAGGTTTGTAAAATGGCTTATTAAGCAAATAGTTGGAACATATGAGGAAGTTTTGCAAATAAAGTAAATGGATGTGAAATGTATTTTACACACTTTAACCAAATAAATCGTAGAAGTGTTCTGCTTATTCAGCATTTTAAGCTTTGAAAACGACTAGATATTTAGTTTTTTTTTTTACTTCGACATTAAATTTTGCAATGTGATTGTTATATTATTTAAAATTATTTGGCAATTGTGTCTTGCAATATATTATGTTTCCATTTCATCCAATATTCGTTGCATACAAGTAGATTGATTATTCAGGATGCAACGCAACTTTCGATTTGAAAAAGGGGAAAGAAGTACTAGAAATATGGGAGAGGATGAAAAATAAGAGTAAAAGGTCGGAGAGAAATATTGCGAAAATAATGGTTTAAATTCTGATAGTTCAGAATTTAGAGATGTTATATTGGCGATATGTTTGAGACTTCATTTTTGTCGTTTCTTCAGTTTTTTTTTCTTTATATAGCGTTGTTCATCAGGAATAGCGAGATATTAGTACGAGTTGATAATTTTTCACAAGCATTTTCCAAATATACAGAACAAAATGGTAAATGAATTTACTATGATTTCGTGTGAAACGATTCACTTCCGTTTTTCGAAATTTAGATCAACTGAACTTTAAAATTTAGAAGTGTTAGTATGACGACATTTTCGAATTGCTTATTGCTCACTGCTGTTTCGGTAATCATGTTACAAACTGTACCGATTATCAACGCTGGCAAAATATTGCTTTTGGTCGATAATTTGAGTGTTAGGGAAACGCATTCTATCTTCTTGAAATCCCTGAAAGGTTATTAATGATTAATTTAATCGAATCAGTTGCCTAATTTTTTCTTACTACTGCTTCTGATCTCGTTCCATAAATGGACGGTATATTTTCCACTGGTGTATGGTAAGGCTTTTTAAATGGCCTCCACTTTTTTATTTCTTTTTTCCACCACCAATAAAAAGTAATATTTGTAAAATTTGAGGATGTATAATTTAATCGAGGAAATTTGATTATTTTGCAACAATCAGTAAATAATGCATGAGATGGACAATCTATCGAAAAATAAACAAATCTTTCGCACTTCGTTTTGTTACTGTTGAAATCGGACAATGAAAATCATAGGTGTACCTTATAGGAGAATTTCGGAAAATTTTTAGTTTTTTAAAAAGTTATTTAGCAATGCATAATTTGTTTCGTATTTCAGAAAGGGGACATCAGTTGACTATAAAAGCTGCAGATGATCAAACACTAACTCTCACAAAGTACGGCGAGCACCTCTACGATCATCTTATAATTTTTGCGCCAGGAGTTGATGGTAACATTCTAATTTTGCATCACTTACAATCCTTAAATGCTCTTGAACTTGCGTTTTATAGTTTACATCATGAGGAACAAAGTTTGTGTCCTTGGTACTTCAAGTATGGTGGAAAAACGGCGTGATAGGTTTATTAGCTGGAGTCTCAAGAATTTTTAAATCTTTTCTCTCATTAGTCCAGAACTGGCTTCAGTAAGTCACAACACGACAGTTTGTTATTTTAGGTTTAGACTTGCTTAGGTTGCAGAAATTTTCCCTATCTTTTTATGAAAATATAAAGCGGTGATATGCTTTTGCTAGGCAGTAAACGAATTAGTAGTGATACAGTTAGGATGTGGATCTATTACCCACCAGCAGAGCCTAGCAAAATAAAATCAACTATCAAAAGGAGTGAAGAATAACATGGATGTAACCAAGCGAAATATGCTGGTAAGATGAAAGACAATATCGTTCTATTTGATGATTCAAATCACTATTTAATTCGGCTGAGAAAGATTGTGTGGTACTTTAAAATAAAAAGAGTGGGAGGTTTTCTACCATGGGATAGTTTCCAGCATCTTGTTACGTCAAAATCATTGCTAACATTAACATTAGAAAATCACAAATTCCTGTTTCATATCTCTGTTATAGAATTTGGAGGAACGATTAATGTCAAAGCCATAACATCTTTTATTGATAATGGTGGCAACGTGTTAGTGACAGCGGGAACACGGGTTGGTGATGCTTTACATGATTTAGCTGCGGAGAATGGTTTCGAATTTGATGAGAATCGAACTGCTGTCATTGATCATTTGAATTATGACACCGTTCTTGTGAGCTTTTAATTTTTAATTTGACTTGTACTATTTAAGATCATGCTTATTTATACCCCGTTCAGTTTTATAAGCTCTTTTAAATGCTGCTTAAAGAATTTTCCTCTATTATAGATGTATATGCCCAAATCACTCTATTTTTAGTTTATTTATGCAATTTCTTGTCTTATGCTTTTTGAGACTTCTTGCTTACATTTTGTCAATCATTTTTTTGTTGGGGGCCGATTACAGAACGGTTTTTTTTAATGCTTAGTCCCAGAAGATTAATAAACGACTCGGATTAACTGAAGTTATTGGTAGATAACTGTATGTTTCAGTGTTTTGGAATAGTTCGTAGATGTTTCTCAGCTTTACTAAATGAATTACAGGATGAAGGAGATCATACGACGATTGTAGCTGATCCGTCAAACCTTTTGTCCGCTCCAATGCTTATAGGGAAAACACGGCAAGCTGGTCCTATTCTGTTCAGAGGGGTGGCTTTAATTTCTGACAAGACGAATTCGCTTCGTCTGGAAGTACTTTCTGCTTCAACAACTGCTTATTCATTCAATCCCCGTGAAAAAGTTGAAGAAGTATGTTTTTACATTTACATGAGTTTAATTAAATTATGAGAATGAAGATGACAAACTAATAGAAAGGATAAATGTTCTCTATAAACAAACAATAATATGAAGCATGATCTAGCTGTTGGTCTGTGCCACATGCCTGTTCGATCTTAGACACCCATCGCATTTGCATGGAGTTTTTCAGCGGCATGAACTTTAAAATTTGCGAATTAAAATAATATCAAAATGCAATTCAGATTTAATTTTAACTGGAATTTTTGTAAAAAACCTACTACATTGCAAAAATTTTCCCTTATTTTTCAAAAAGTTCTCGATGCTTAAAAAATAAATGTTTTGAGTTCCTTTTTTTTTTGCTTCATTTCAGTATCCAGGTGCTGTGGGGCGTTCGACACTACTGATTGGTGCCATTCAAGCTCGAAATAATGCACGTGTTGTATTGAGTGGCTCGATTGCCATGTTTAGCGATGCCTTTATCGGTGCAAATGTCAGCAAATACGGTTCCACAACGAAGTATTTTGATTTACTTTTCTAAACTTCCTTAAATTTATATGGAATTTCTAATTAACAATGATCAGATTTTCCCTTATCTTTCCAAACGTATGATTCCAAATAATTCCAACCAATCGCGACCATCCATGGTCTTTTGAAATGATTAAACAAACCACAGGACCATTTCAATTTCTTGATCATCAGGTCATTGATAATTGATTTCTGATATATTTCCACTTAGCATCATATGAATGTCTTAAGGGAGAAGGTATTGTTTTAGGCTTCAGAAAAGTGGAAATTTCGAATTAATAACCGAATTAAGCAAATGGGTATTCATGGAGAAAGGTGTACTGAGAGTGAAGAATGTTTGGCATCATAAGGTATATCTGTATTTTTCCCGGTGTTATGGTTATTAAACTTCTATTGAACTATAAAAGAGTGCCAATTTCATGAAGTTAATTTGCTAGATTGTGATAGATTAAACTTCTGGTAGCACAAAAGATATTGCATAGACCCGATTTTCCCCACTTTATTGAATTTAGGTTGGTGAAAGGAATCCTCCACGAGAATATACAATTTTGGATAATGTTGAGTATACGATCGAAATTGAAGAGCTCAGTAACGGGAAATGGGGACCGTTCAAGGGGAATGATGTTCAATTAGAATTCACCCGTATTGATCCTTTTATTCGGACAACTCTCAAAAATTACAGTATGCTTTCAATTTAATTCTCAGAGTTCGTTTTCGAGCTTTTTCTACAATGCTTTCACTACTGGAATGTTGGTCGATTCAAGTCACATAACTCTAATAGCAGTCTAACAAAACAGTACATAGCCCACTCAAGTCCCCAAGGGACCTGAAATATAGCAAATTATTCAGGTCAAAATTTTTTCAGGAAGTATTAGGAGATAAAATGCAATGAGTTAAGATCGCATAGTTATTCATTATATGAAGAATCGTATTTTGTGGTTTCGTAAATTTACTACACTTTGTTATAGATGGCAAATTGAAAACACAGTTTAAACTTCCTGATGTTTACGGCGTGTTCAAATTCATGGTTGATTATCGTCGCATGGGATATACACATTTGTTGGATGTACAACAGGTAAGTAATAATCATTTTTATAAAGTAATAGACAGCTTGTACTAAGGTATTTAGTACTAATAAGCTTTATTATCTTGAGCTCTCTTGACATTCTTTAGGTGTAGAAGCTTGGCTGTTAAGACTCAGAAAAGGATGGAAATATGACTTGTGCCTTTTTAGATGCTATAGCATTCAGGATGTTATTTGGATATTTAAAAGCTGACGTGGATAACGTGAAGAGATAAATAACAGAATAAATAAAAGAGTGAAATAATGATTAGATAACAAGTTTCCACAGGCAACTAAGTGACTAAGTGATCGTGAACGTATTTGGGAATAAAGTTGGATCCTCATGAAAATATACTGAGATTCTGTTTGGCTTTTTGAATATATCGCTTTTTTAATTTTTGGTTTTGCAGTATTTCTTTAATTTCAGTATTTCTTTAATTTAACTTGCAGTATTTCTTTAATTTCAGGTGTCTGTTCGACCATTGCAACATACCCAGTATGAACGTTTTATCTATAGCGCATATCCTTATTACGTTTCTGCATTTTCGATGATGATAGGAGTCGTTCTGTTCTCATGCGTCTTTCTCTATCACAAAGAACCATCAAAGGATATAAAGAAGGACTGACCTTTGTTTGTTTGGCCTGTTCCATTAATATTTATTATAAAGTTTACTTATTATGCTATTTTTCTAGTACAAGTTGATTAATGGTACAATCCTCACTTTTTAATAGGTTGTGATGATCCTTTTAAAAAGTTTTTTGATATCCAGTTTTACGCGAATCAACAAAATTTCTGCTGTTGTTAGATATTAACATTTTTGGCGTTAATGAAATTACACTTCAGCATATAATGTTATATACAACATAAAAGGAAGAATCATACTGTTAACTTCTTAAAAATATTTCGTTTATTGATACTAATCGATTAATCACAGTGATCGCAGGCTAACTAATGGCACTGATCTAAACAGTAATGCTGTATCATTGTTTATCTCTCAATTGGTCCATAAATTTGTTCGATTATTTGATTTTCTAACTTTCAATCACAACTGGCTTTTCTCTTTCTTCACTTATCCCAGGAGGCTCATTACTCTCAGTGTGATCCAAATTCTATTTATTATTCTTTATTAGGGCGAACGATCGAGTGAGCAGGATGTTACTGTATGAGACTTGTTATTTACCTTTTCTTAGGGTATTTTGTTATATTCTTTGCCGGATTTAAATCTCTTTATTATTACCTTTTTTTATTGTTGATAAATGATTAATTGTGAACCTTCGGAAGTTGTCAATAAACGATAGAAAATGACAGAAGTACTGAGATGATTGTACAGGTTATTTCACATCTTAGTGCGAAATATATGTTTCCTGAAACTTCTTAAATTTTCATTTGTTTCTTCCCAATCATCCATAAAGATGCATGTGGTACTCGAAAAAGGAACAAAATATAAAAATTTATACAACAGCAATTTGTGCATTTGTGTACAGGCAACATCCAATATTTCCAGCAAAAATTAGCAAATTTAAATTCAATTCCACGACGGGAACACTTTTTTATTCACAAAACCATACAATAATAAAATTGAAAAAAAGATAAAAACAGACATAATGGGAAAAAAGTAAAATTATACTAGAGGTATAGAACTATATACTTAGTTTATGACTAAATTGAAAATGCTAATTAGTTAACACCCTCATTCTCGGGTAATGGTAAAGAAATTTCAATAATTCTAATGCGACAAAAAAAGAGAAAAAATGAAATTTCGGAAAAAAAAACTGAGTTTCCATATCATTCATTATTTTTCCTATCCATTGATTATCACAACAACTTTCTAAGAACTGTACAATGAAATTATCAACAACATTGCGTATCATTTCGTAGATATCAAACATTACATCTTCCAAAACATGTTAAAACTTGAAAAATTAAAAATGAATTAACAATAAATGTTTATACTTGTAATCCTGAATCCATAAAAACATGCGAGGTACATTGATAATCTGTTTAAGGTAGTAGTAAATGTATGATCTGTATGATTCTGCTGATAAATTTCACTATAACCTTAATTTGGCAATGATCGACGTAACATCTTACGTAATCTTGCAATTTCTTCATTTGCTTTATCCAAATCACCAGCTAATATTGATTGTCTGAAAGTAAAATTTTACAATAGCTTATTTGCAGCGAAAAATTTTACAAACTAATTTACTCTTAATTATAATTTCAACATTGTTATATTGCAAGTAATTGTATTAACTAATATTAACAATAAAAAATACAAAACATGGCAGACATACCGTTCTTTTAATTTTTTAATATCTGTTTTGCAAGTAACATTTTGACGTAATAAATCCATTCGTTCTGTTCGTAATTTTTCGACATCATTAAGAAGTTCATTAAGACGTTTTACTTCTTCCTCTCGTAAAGGTGCTTGACGATCAATACAACAATTACACGGTATACGATTTGAATGTACAACTTCAGTGGATGATAATGATTCCTGGAAAATATTTGCAATCACTTTCATACTCTTAATTTTTTAGCTTATTATTGAAAGTTATTCTTAATAACTCTACCGTATCTCGCCTATTTTCTTTTTTTCTTTCTTTTTTTTTCTGCACCGAAAACTTCCACACTCTTGATGAGTCCCATAGTTATCCCAGAAATAAGAAAGAAAAAATTGTTACCAGTCCAGTATCCGAATCATGTCCCATTTCAGTACTTTCATTTTCACCACTTGACAAGTCCCATTCTCCATGATTATGCTTGCTTAAAATAATTTAATCTAATTTTTTAAAAGAAATATAACTCAAACATTTAAGTTATATTCGCTTCATTACTTTAATTTGAGAATTTTATTGACCAAAAAACTTATTCATCATCAATTTGATGTTAAAAAAAAAAAGAAGAAATGAAAAAATAATTTGGTACCATAAATCGCCAATTTTCAAAAAAGCATTTTGAGATGGAATCGATAAGAATAATCCAGATGAATTGTCACCACGACTACCATATGCTTCATCTGTTTCATGATGATGCTCTTGCAACGATCTGGAGAATATTTGCTAATTCTAACCAAATGTATCTATTAAAATTAATTAAATTTTAATATTTCGAAAATTTTATCAAATTTAAGTCTAAAACATGAAAAATCTTTGATATATTTGATTCAAATATGAAAACAAATGACAAACATGAACAAACAATAAACAATGAACAAACAAATAAACAAATAACAAAAACAAATGAAAAAAAAATTATGGGGGGGGGGGGAAAAAAAAAGGAAATACGTTCGAAAAACAAATAGCTAAATAAAAAAATTTGATTTGGTTTTATGAATTTTCTGTTTTTTTCTTTTTTAATGAAACACATAAATTTCTTTATTGGCAATTTAAAGATGTAAGAAACAAATACTAACAAATATAATTTCTGCATAGCATTTACTGATTATAATCAAATATACCATCAAAATTTACTAAATTTCAACAAATTCACAATATCAAAAGGTAATGTCATGGTGAAATGGGAGAATACTTCATTACGTTTGATAGTATTTAAAAAAAAATTTATCCTTCATCAACTGTCACATACATATACATATACACATACACACATACACACACATACACATACATGCACAGTCACACATGGATATATACGTATATTAGAAAAATCCAAGAATTGCTTACTTTTTAAATTCACCAGAAGAATTCCGTTGCTGAATGCTACTTCCGGCTCCACTAGTTGATGTCGAGCTTCTGGAAATTGATTCACCAGTGTATGATTTCCGGTTAGCATTCTTTGGACTATTTAAGGAAGCTGTTGTTGGATTCTGCATGGATAATGATGCTGTCACATCTTGAGATACTGATCGTGACCTGATCAATTAGTACCGAATTAAACTTTATTCAATATTTTTCAAATTATTTCTGTTCAATTTAAATGAAAAAAATGAAAATGAAAGTAAATTATTAATTAGGAACAAAAAAGGAATTGGAAATTTTGTACTCATTAAGTAAATAAATTATATATATGCCATATTTTTACCTTCCGGTTAATGCTTTTTTAACGGAATGAAAAATTCCTATTGAATGTGAAATATTATCCGTTGTTTCCAGTAATGGTAAACCATAAAATTGTGCTCGTTCTTTTAAATTACCATAAAGTGCTTCTAATAATGATGAGCGTGTTCGTTCCTGTGAAAGAAAAAAAAAGGAAAGTTACAAAAGTTTGATATCTTTTGAAATAATCTAAAATTGAAAAAAATTAAAAATCGTTATATATTTCTTTTTTTTAAAAAGAATGAATTACTTTTGATAGCATATATTATAAATTAAATAATAATTTTTTATTTTTTTCGGTGGTAAAACCATTGTAAAAATGATATAAAGCATTAAAAATTTATAATCAATAAATAAGCAAATCATTTTTTTTACTTTTAAATTTTGAGTTCAAAGTTTTAATAGAACTTACAGCAAGTTTGGCAAATTTCGTTGATTTATAAGCAGCATTTTCCGCATTGATTAATTTGGTAAGCAAAAAATTGCGAAATTCTTGACCTTTCCGAAAAATGGATGGTGCTGGGAGAGTAGGTCCAAAAAATGGGACATCATCACGTGCTGTTACAGATACCTGTGAGGAAAAAAAAATGATATACAGAAATGAAATAATGAAAAACTATGAGAAATTAGGCGGAACTTGAAATAATAACAATTGAAAGTTAAATTGTATACAGGATAAATTTTGGGTTCAAAGTTCAAAACTTCTTGAAATTTCTGAAAAATTTCAACAAAATAAACATACACGATAGCGAGCTTTTTCAGTACATGAATCAATTGGTTGAACAACAATAAAAGCATGTAAAAAATTACTCGCTATCATATCAGCGGAAAATGGTGTATTTTCTTCCTGTAATTAATTCTTCAATATTATCCAATTAACAGTGCTTATGCTTATTTATTTATTTATTATTTGATATGTATCAAAAATTAACAATTAATTAGTAGACGATAATTAAATGCATAAAAATAAGTCTATTAATTGATTTGGTTGGAAATATTACTAATAAACTAAGAAGGAAAATGAAAAAAAAAAAACCTGAAAAACAATAGCAACAATATCATTTCCAATATGTCGTTTTCGTTGTAATTGCTGAGTGTCACCAGCTGTATAAGGTAACATGGTAGATATATGGAACATAATTTCACGTTGTCGAAATTGACAATAAACTGATTCGATACCTGTTTGACCATGTTGTGTATCCAATCCACCACGATAACCCTTTAGAAAATATTACTATTATTAATTATTTTAATTAATAAGTTCTTCAACAAATAATAAATATTTGCCATTGTTTGGCGTTAATGCTTTGAATAATAAATTCTTTACTAATTATAATTATAATAATGCATATTTTTATTAATAAAACAAAAAAAAGAAAGAATTTCCAACAAATACAAGCAATATTACCAATAATTGTTTAGTAGTAAATAATGCTACTACAATTATTACATATGAATGATTAATAAATGAGAAAGCAATTAAGTATAGAAGAAGGAAATAATATATGAATTGAAAATAAGATCAAATAATGTATGTATAATTGTTTATTTTCTAAAAGTATTTATTTTTGATTGCCAATCATGTAATCGATAATAAATCGATAATTTTAAATCTGGAGCAATTTTTAAAATAATTTATCAAATCAAGTTAATAGTATTTCGTTTCTTCGTTATTGTCCATTTTCATGATATCTTCATCAAAAAAGGAAAAAGAGTACAAGATTAGATTTCATTTCTTTTTTTTGAAATATTTTTTTCCGGAAAATTTCTTTAAAAATTGGGATTAAATGAAAATATTTCATATGACAATCAATTATTTCATATTTCGAAATTATGATTCACATGAAATTGTTAACCTTGAAATCCCTGAGTTCTATTCGTTCACCAATGATATTTAAAAATTCATCGAAAGCATTTGAATATACGGCATTTCCGAAAAGCTCTTCTTCGGTAGTCTGTAAATGCAAGTTTAAAATTAATGAGAAATTAATATCACTAATCTAGAAGGTGTAATTAAGGGATTATTTCGTACAGTTCAGAAATTACTGAACATATGAAATTATTACTTTTCTTTTTTTTGCTTTTCTTTATCTCAGGTAATAAAATTTCCTTTTTCTTGAAAACAAAATTGTTGAATAAAGTAAATATTATGGATTAGAATTTCAAAAGTTTTATTTGATGTTTTACCTGGCCAAATCGTTGATAGATAACGCCAAATTTGTAAGTGTTTGTTAAAACATGCTCATCATATTTTAAAATCATTTCCGTACCACCCGGGAAAGCTACTGGACTAAATCGATCTGTTGTTACTTCATCACACAATAATCGTGCCATTCGACTTGCAGTTGGTCGATCTGCTAGAGCTAAATAATAATTTATTGATTGTAAAAGAATAAGAAAATGTACATTTTTGCTTGTTTATTCTTTAATATGTTTGCATGCAGCACGTCGTATTCTATAACTGCGTGTTATTTTATTTGGCATACATTAGAAAATTGCATAAAATCCATTGATACTATACTATATAAATATCTTACTGTAAAATAAAGCTACACTATTCTATTCTGCAATCCATAAATAATTACCAGAAGCAGGGACAATTTCATGTACGGTTCCATGTCTGGTCCGTAAAATAATCCTAAAATGTTCCTGGGATGAGATTAGTTCCGTTCGTGCCGACAACACCAATGGCCCTAATTTGTTGTCAGTTGCATAAAAATCATGATGCTCCTAAAATATGTTTATTTATTCACTTATTTGTTTATTTACTTATTTATTTATTTGCTTATTTATTTATTTATTTATTTATTTACTTACCTATTTATTTATTTATCTATTCATTTATTTATTTATCTATAATCTATCCAAGGTATATTAAGGTAATTTGAATTAATAATAAATTATATTTAGTCAACAAGCAAAATTAAACAAAATAATTTCATATGTCCAATGACGCATATTTTAATAAAATTAATTAGCACATCCAATTTATTGATTAACTTATTCATTTTTTGTTTATTGTAATTAATAACTGACTTATTTATAATTATTACACTGTTTATTTGATTTAAATT